TATTGGATACTGGAACACCCAAATGCTCGTTAGGCCAACCAGAGCTGAGTGGCTATACCTACTGTATAAGAGTCCCAAAAAGACTTGAAACAGTTTTCCAATACTTTGAAACGACAGCGAAGAAATCTTTTGGTGTACATTAGCTCCTAGAAAGATGTTGGATATTACATACTCGCACTATTGAGGTTGAATGTTGAAGGATACTATAGTAACATCGACGTTTTCAAATACCATCAAGGACAATATTCCAAAGTTTCTCCAAATGCCTAAGAATGCCGAAGTTCATATTTGGCACGGAAAATACCCCGTTGCGGGTATATGTGAAAATAGGCAATTTCGTCTGAAGGGGCTGCAAGGTACTTCAAAAGTTGCCATATTTCATACATGTAGAACAACTATCAAAACTTGGATATGCTGTTTATTTACACGGCCTCAGTGATTTCTACGAAATTGTGGAAATCTTAGTCAATGGGGAAATAGTCTATCGCTGCAAGATAAATGATTTCCAGTTCGGTAGGCTCAAAGTCTCAAACTAATAGTGTATTTAGGGGGTGATGGAGAACTTGATCCACTGTGCAAAGCCATTGTTGATAGCGTAAAGAATGCTTACTAATAAATTTTACGTTTTTCTCACTGGCTGCGAGCGAAGTGGGTCTTCTTGATAGAATATATTTCTTTGGTTTAGCCTACAAGCCAGCAGACTTGTAAAGAAATGACACTTCTCTTCATATCAACATCAAACCATTTTAAATCAACTCTGTTTTATATCCTTAGCAAACAGAAAGCTGTTTCATTAATTTTCATTGCAGTCTTAACGCTGGTACGGTGGCTAGTTATAACTATCAATCCTGGTGGATTTAAATAGAAAGTCCTTTCAATCATTTTCAGGAATAATGACGATAGAAAGAAGTCCTGTATCAATCCCTGTAAGTCACTGTACAATTTAGATTTCATAAAATCTTGATCGAACCAAATATAAGCGTAGAATCTGCATTCTATGGCAGAGAATTCCACTAGTTTCCTAGAAATGGGAAATGATTAGAAGATGGAGGTTGGTGAACGGGGAAAATAAGTTTCCTGCATTTTGACTTCGAAGACTAAGAGATCTCTTCAGGCTGTTTCCATCCATAAAACTCCCTGGTATCATACATTTCGCCCTCATACCCTGAATATACTCTGCAAATGGATATGCTATACGAGAAACGGACTTTCGAATAAAAGCGATGTTACAACGGTTTTTAACATTTCAGATAACCTGCAATCAAGCCGTTAGCTGTAGAGGGAAAACACTAATTGAGTAAACTGGATCACATTACATTACTGAAGATAAGGGATACTAGCAGTGGACACGATTAACTGAACAGATTCAGTCAGTTTAATTTCTCGTAATAAGGAAGGGTTATTTCTTTTGAAACTTCAATTTCTGCCCTTTGGACGTATTTTAAACTAGATACTTCATGCTTGAAACAGGCTAGACACCTATATCTCCTACTCTAAATCAGTTCCCATATTTCCTCGTCAAAGCTTTCAGATACTTTGTGAAAATGCCACAATACTTGGAAATGCCTGACAGCCGCTACTCTGCGATTTACTACAGTCGTGTGGTCATGAGTTTTAATGACTCCTAGATCTTAATGGTTTGAAGCCTTTGTTACTATTAATTCAATAAGTGAGTTGCCATACAGATTATTATGACCGATGTGCGTAACAAAGTGTTTTTACACCAATTTTAAATGGTCGTTCACTTACCGATCTCAAAAGTTGTTGGGATCATATTATAAGTCAGCTTTTTTCTGCTTTTGCACGTACTTGTTCAGGGCTTAACATAACCTAAAAACATGAGACGAGATTATTTTACTTCTAATGACCCTTCATGTGTACTTTATAAGAGCTGGAGAGTACCTGAGGTAACATCTTTAAGTTTACTCCCTTCCTGTGATCTTTAAGAACAAAAGTACCCTACTGGCTCTCATTTCTTATCTATTATTTCTGAGAAAGTCCATGGTCTGGTCCACAACATCACCATCCATCCTAAGACTCTCAAAGTTGAAAAACCTTGTCAAAAGCCTTACTGGAATCACCAGATACTTCCTAAAGACACATCATCACTAACCGATGCTATGAGATTATTCGAACAAGACTGACCACCGCCAATACTATTCGGTTCTTAGGTTGGGTATACTTCAGAATATGTATATATATATATATATATATATATATATATATATATATATATATATATATATATATATATATATATATATTGAAGACTAAAGTACCAGTCTCCATTGATATCTGCACATCTGGTCAAACCTCTACTTCTTTGTGGATATGCTTTAACTTAGCGCTAGGTGCATCTATCTCATTACTTTAAGGACTTCATCCAGTGAAAAAGTAATGTGCACAGAATGTTTATCTATTCATTAAAGTGTGCACCAGCTAAATTTAAGAAGTCAAATACCAGAGAAGACTCCGAAAGTTGAAGTGGAAGATGGGTACCTATGAAGGGCGGAGTGAAAACTGTAATAAACTTTGAAGACAAGTCTTTATAATGTTATATAAATTTAAGGTAATGGAACATTTCTGTGATGTCAGTGTTCAAGTTATTTCCTGTTCAGCTACTGAGAACTAACTTTAACTTCGAAGGGGTCCTCGCCAAACATGAATCTAGTTGTTATAAACACTTCATTTTGTTAGAAAAGAATGGGAGAATGTGACTTATTATTAAAATATGGTTTACATGTTATCTTTGAAGAAGCTATTGATGATACTCGGCTGCGAAAACATACCGTTAGTTCCGTGGAAAGAATTCAAACCCTTTATCAAATGACTGAAAACCGTGGCCAGCATTACGATTTTCGTCTCAAATACTTCATATTTTCTCATGATGACACGTTTAGGAGATTGCTGTTTAATAATATAAGAGTAAAACTTGGGAGGTGTGGTTGATCGTAATTCCCTTTTAGTTTGTTCATTACAAATGTCACATAGTGAATGATACTGTTTGACTTGTAACATTTCTAATAAACTAACTAAAATCGAATTATGGTTTTTAGTTATACTTCCATGTCAGCATATTTGATCAGCATGAGCAAACTCTATTCTTTCAGGGTTTTTTATACAGTTAAACGGGTAATGACATTAGTTTCATATATCTCAATTACACATAATTTTGTTTTTCTATAACATGCTGTAAGAAATTTTTCATGCTTTGCTAATTTACGCAGCTTATCATACTGTTTTTTTATACCAAGCATTACGTGTATGCAGAGCTTCTACTGCAAAACTCTGTAGACTGACCTTTCGTCTTGCTACGTGAAAACTGTTCTAGACTGACTGACATTTTCCACTTCATCGCCCTAAAAACTGCCCTTTTTATTGTCAAGAAAATGAAGTTCAACTAAGCAATTTCCATATTGTTATACTGATTCATTTCAAAAGAAAGTGACCCCATAGAGAAATTAGATGTCTTGGGATTAAACTACGTTTCACTGTATGGTCACACTGCGATTCTTAAAGCTAACATGAATTTTCAGTTTGAAAACAACGCAGTAAAAAATATCGGTTTCAATTTGTTTAGCAAGTTACCATTAAAAAAATATTTCTCCCGTCTTTTACAGAAACCCGCTGAAAACGTCTGATAAAAATCATTTATTTGTTTACAGTTTCAGAATTTTGAAGAATTCAGATATGCACCACCAGATGTGCACAACTTTTTATTTGGGTTAGTTGTAGGTCAGTGAACAATTGTGAAGCCCCATCAAATAATTTTAATCTGAATATCTTTCTTTTCTCCAGTTTACACTGGTTTGTATAACAGCTGATTTTCGGATGCCAATACTTCATAAGCATACATACCGATGAAACTGGTAATGTTATGCTAATCAGTATAATATGAAAGACTTTATGATCACTGTCAAATGTTTATTCTGACTGGTTTGGTCATAACTACAAAAGGGATAAGAGTAAAATGAAAAGATTGGCAGTGATAGTGTTCTAACCAGGGGTTTCAGGGTCGCCAGCCTTTTATCGATCACACTAGTCTGACAAACCGTGACTGTCTAAAATTATCACACTGATATGGAACTTTGTTGGTCAGTGATGAATAACTTCAGTTGTTCGCCTAATGACAGTAGTACTAATGTTAATAATCATAGTGATCTTTATTAAGTAAGTTGTTTCAACACAAATCGTGATAAAAAAGATAAGCTAAATAGTATGTTTGTGTAGACAATCAGATAATCACTGTCAGGGAAAGAGATATTTAAAATAAGGTTGTCTATTTACGAAAGGCAGAAAGTTCACAAAAAAAGTAAAACCAAATTTAGGAGTGATATTATGAGCATTCAGTCTATAGCTGTTAAAAATGTCATGAAAGATGCTTGTATTTCAGTTCAAAAAACGGAATGATAAGCAATTGAACTATCTCACCAAGCAGATAGAAGTTAAAACTTCGCGATTAGCTGAATTATTTGGATCACTGTATATGCAGCAAACAGAAACAAGTAGCAATGAAGATTGATACAATAAAGTCGTTGAAATAATCATTCATTGCATCCACCAAACGTAAGATGTCAATATGCTTGCTCATAAGGAACTTCGGATTTTTTCACAAGTCTTTCAGATCCTCTAAATTATTATGCATTAGTATTTTCACTGGCGTTATTTATTTGCATCTTAAAATTATCTACTAAGGTGAGACTGGTAAGGGAATTATTGGTACCAACTACTTGAATAATATTTGTTTAGTCTACGAGTGTTTTCATGGCGTTGTCTCAACGCAAATTGTTGACTAAAAACAACACTGAGAATTTGAGGCAATAATTACATGAATTTTAGAATAAATTTGTAGTAGATCTGCAAGGTAGCATCCCATCATCTCGAAGATGACATATCTGTTGGCAAATGTGCTTGAACCACTGCATTGAGATGACTTATATCAGGTTTAAAACCAGTGGCATGTAGGCTGCATCCTAAGCAAGACACAGGTGTCTAATTAAGTTGACATTTGGATGAATTAACTGTTACATTCTTGTCAAGGAAACACCTGAACAGTTTTGTGAGGCGTTCATTATGCAATGCACTTCAATATTCGGACTATGAACTGTAATTTCATCTTGATAAGATTCGACAACATGTAATCTACCTGCCATCTGATTCATAACCGTTTGAAGTATTGTTGTTTTGCTGTTGATCCGAAGGGTAAGAATTTATATCTAAGCATCTTAAATAGAGCGATAATAGTTTGAGAAGAGCTAGAAGCTTGATCAAGAGAAATTTGTAAATGTTCATCTTTTAAATATATTTCAAGAAGTATTTCAAACAACTTAGTTTGTGGCTGGCTAATAAAATCTCAAATGAAGTTAATATGAACAATATCAGTCTTTGTATCTTCTCATACTGCACTTTAAACAACCTCTTGCAACTACTTTTCAGTATGTAAGACCATGAATGTACCAACTTTGAGTTCCTAATAACATATGTCATGGTGCTTTTCTTTGTGTTAACCATGTCAGAACACTTTGAGCCAATGCCTGATGTTTCGGCGAATGCAATTATAATTTGTGAACTATGATGTTCAAAAAAACTGATCATTGTGTGCATACGTTCTGTCTTTGTTCTTATTTTCACTAAAATAATATATTAACCTAATCAACATTACCAGTTTCATAAAACTGTAAGCTTCTGATGAAATAAGTTGTATTTTTTGATGTTAAATTCCATTAATTTACTCAAATCTAATCACATAACTTCAACCTATGTTCGGAGTAATCGAGAAGAATTACATAAACAAATAACAGTCTTACTAAACTCATGAAATGGAGATAGAAAACTGAAGCTTCTCAATCTGAAGAAATAGATTTCAGTTCGGTTGGAAGCAACTGGTAGGAAGCAGTGGACCTAGATTTCGTGATTGTTGCCACTTGTCAGCAAGACGTATCTGCAACCTTGAGAGAAATGATGTCCCTTCTGTGATTC